ATCTGAATTGGATCGTATTATTATTATAGCCAGCATCAAGAAAACAATTTCATTTTTTCTTGCCCTGTCTCTCTCTAACACACACGTAGCATAGGCGGCTTTGCTTAGAGTAAAACATTAGCGCCTAGATCTCAGAGACTATAAAAGCTAGAGCAACCAAATTTGGTATCCACACTCCTAATATATCAGAACGAGACGAGTTTGTTTCAAAATTTCGCCAAACCCCCTTCCGCCCCCGCAAAGGATGCAAATCTGGGGATATTCACAAATCTCAGAGAGTATTAAGGCTAGAGTAACCAAATTTAGTGTCCGTACTCCTGTTAGATCTCACTATAAAACGTATATCTCAAAATTTCGCCCCACCCCCTTCCGCCCACACAAAGGACGAAAATCTGTTGCATCAACAATATTGCACATTCGAGAAAACTAAAAACGCAGAATCATAAATAATGACCATATCTATCAGGTTGCTGAATCGGGATCAGATCAGATCATTTTTATAGCCAAAAGGAACAAATCAATTTGCAGTGGCTACGCAGCGCCCGACGTCACGCTCAGACTGATTTTCTGTCTCTCTCGCACGCACTCTTTGTCGTGTCGTTTAATATTAGCGGCGTCTGCCGGAGGAGAGCCATACTGACTTAGTATCGGGTATAACCGTAGAGTTGCGGTGTCCGCAGCAACTCACAACGTTCCCCCTCGTTTCGTTTTGTTTCGAATAAACAGCCGGTGTTTTCCTAACTAAATTCTAATTATACTCCCTAACCAGACAACAATCTGGAAACCAATTCTTTTACGCGAGTGCATGCCTTTTGATTTGTGTTAAAATATTATTTAACTTTTTATTTTTCGGCGTCGGTTTGTGTTGTGTTGTTGCAGTGAGTGAGTATTGCATTGCAGTCCGCTCTCGTCTGGTAGCTTTTGTTGTTTTATCACTCTCTCGCTATCACCTCAACTTCAATAACTGTTCTTTCTCTCTCGCTCTTTCAACTTTCTGAGCAATAGCGCTCTCTGTTTAGTAGCTCTCGCTATAACCGCTCTCCACTCTGCTCTCCTTTTTTTTTTCTTACCAATTCCGCTTTGAGCGTTGTCTGGCACATTGGTCTGATACCAATTTGGAAATTTTAATTTTTTTAATTTTAATTTTTCTTCGTAAATTTTCTTAAGAAAATATTTAAATAATAAAAATGGAATTCGCTGTGGTCTGCGCCAAAAAAACCTGCAAGAAGCAGATCACTCACGATCAGCCGAATGTCCCCTGCTGGCTCTGCGACAGCGTAGTCCACGCAAAATGCGCGGGATTTGACTTGATTTGACCATATCTATCAGATTGCTGAATTTGGATCAGATCAGATTATTTTTATAGCCAAAGGGAACAAATCAATTTGCACTGGCTACGCAGCGCCCGACGTCACGCTCAGACTGATTTTCTGTCTCTCTCGCACGCACTCTTTGTCGTGTCGTTTAATATTCACGGCGTCTGCCGGAGGAGAGCCATACTGACTTAGTATCGGATATAACTGTAGAGTTGCGGTGTCCGCAGCAACTCACAACGTTCCCCCTCGTTTTGGATGACTTCGGCCATTCTTCTTGGCATACTAGCAATAAGTTTGCGGCAAGTCTCCACTGGAATCTCACCACGTTTTTTGCACAAATTCTCCACAATTCTTTTTATACCCGATACTCAAAATGAGTATTGGGGTATATTAGATTTGTGGTAAAAGTGGATGTGTGTAACGTCCAGAAGGAATCGTTTCCGACCCTATAAAGTATATATATTCTTGATCAGCATCAATAGCCGAGTCGATTGAGCCCTGTCTGTCTGTCCGTCCGTCCGTCTGTCCGTCCCCTTCAGCGCCTAATGCTCAAAGACTATAAGAGCTAGAGCAACGATGTTTTGGATCCAGACTTCTGTAATATGTCACTGCTCCAAAAATATTTCAAAACTTTGCCCCGCCCACTTCCGCCCCCATAAAGGGCGAAAATCTGTGGCATCCACAATTTCGACGATACGAGAAAACTAAAAACGCAGAATCGTAGAAGATGACTAAATCTTCTAGAGTGCAAAATCTGAACCAGATCGTATAATTATTACAGCCAGAATCACGAAAACAATTTCACTTTTTCTCGCTCTGTCTCACTCTAACACACAGGTTTCATGGTCGGTTTTGCCAATTGCAAAATATGAGTTCAAGGATCTCAGAACCTATAAAAGCCAGAGCAACCAAATTTGGTATCCACACTCCTGTGATATCGGACCTTGACCGTTTCCTGTCCAAATTTCGCCACACCCCCTTCCGCCCCCGCAAAGGACGAAAATCTGAGGCAACCACAAATCTCAGAGACTATTAAGGCTAGAGTAACCAAATTTGGTACACACACTCCTTTAAGATGTCACTATAAAACGTATATCTCAGAATTTCGCCCCACCCCCATCCGCCCCCACAAAGGACGAAAATCTGTTGCATCCACAATATTGCAGATTTGAGAAAACTAAAAACGCAGAATCATAGATAATGACCATATCTATCAGATTGCTGAATCTGGATCAGATCAGATAATTTTTGTAGCCAAAAGGAACAAATCAATTTGCATTGGCTACGCAGCGCCCGACGTCACGCTCAGACTGATTTTCTGTCTCTCTCGCACGCACTCTTTGTCGTGTCGTTAAATATTAGCGGCGTCTGCCGGAGGAGAGCCATACTGCCTTAGTATCGGGTATAACCGTAGAGTTGCGGTGTCCGCAGCAACTCACAACGTTCCCCCTCGTTTTTTTTCGAAAAGAATTTTTACCAATTCGAAGTTTTATGTCACCCCAAAGGTTTTCAAATTCTGGAGTCATTATCAAAAAGATTTGTTTTTGTTTCGTCTCTCAATAATATATTATTCCACTTCTAAGACCCATCTGACCCAGATCATGCCAAATGATTTTCAACAACTTTTCGCCTCATCTTCAAACTTTTTACTCGGAGTAAGGAAACTTTTCGGACTATACGTCCTGTTAGGTCTGTATATTGAAGTCTCCGACGAACCATCAGACCTGATTTTTTTTTTGCCAATTTGAGCGAATATGGCCTTGGAAGACATGAACTGATCCTTTTTTGCAAGACTGATGATGCGGGTGTCCGTTGTTTGTAACGATTTCTTTTTCCATCCTTGATTTTCAATAAGCACTTTAGATATTAAAGCATTCTGAACAAAAAATTCCGAGCATCCAAGACTTTTCGCAATTTCCCGGAGAATTTTCCTTTCTTTTTGAAGACTTATGGAAAACTTCTTTTCTTCAGGAGTACGGCCTATCTGAAGATTTTTTTTAACTCTCGTGTACTTAAATATGAAAGAACTCAATAAAAACAAACAATCCTTTGACCAAATCCTTATCTAATCCTTTAAAATTTATAAATAACACCAGTGTACTTATTATTTTGGCCAGACCAAAAATGCCCATTCAGCAAAAATGTATGCATAGAATTTTATTAAGATGGTTCCCCACTTTAATTTTTGATTTAAATATGTGGCAAAACTGTAACCTTTCCAAATATAAACAATTGGCATCCTTAAATTTACAAACCTTCGAGCTATTCCATAACAAACTAGCACGACACCGATGTACTTATTATTTTGGCCAGTAGTGCATATATAATAATGATGAACTATGCAATCAGACGTGTTTGATAAAGACATTTTTTGTTCGCAAATTTGTTTTTCCAACTTTTTCCTAATTTAAATTCTCCAATTTAAATACATATTTAAATCCTAAAAAATTTTAATTGTAAAAAAACGGATTGATACAAAAAATCTCTCGTATACATTATACATAGGCAATACACCTATTTCCTACGAAGATTGTGCAGTTAATCTGGGGATAATATTCAGTAGTACTCTGTCATAGAGTAAACATATATCAAAGGCAACTGGACGTACATATGGTCTGTTGCGTCACCTCTCAGCATTTACAACTTTTTTGCCAGAAGAAATAAGACTATTAATTGCTAAAGACATTCTCATCCCCACTCTCTTTTATGGGGTAGAAATTGTTGGTCATTGTGACGCTCGTGACTTGCACACACTAGTAGTAGGCTTACACTAGTAGTAGGCTTTAATTCAATTGTCCGTTATGCTTTTAAGTCGTTTTGACTATGTTTCGCACCATTCTCGTAAAATACTTCACCTCAACTTGACCTCATGGATATATTTTAAAACCTTAGTATACTTTCATAAAATTGTGACCACCCAATGACCGATTTACCTTTATCGCAAACTTAACACCGCTGCATCACTCTCGAATTGAATCGCTTTGCTCGAAGAGGTAGTTCTGCATTAACGCTATTCGCTTATGGAACAATCTTCACCATGGCATAAAAACCATTAGGAGCGCAACTCAATTTAGCTTTAAAGTTACAAACATTTTGGAAATCAATAAAATAAAATTAAAAAATTCACTAAAAGAAAGAAAATAAATAAAAATAATAGAACAAATAAATAAAAATAGTAAAATAAATAATTCAAATTTAAAAAAGTAATAAAACAAACAAAAAGTATGTCCTACTTGAAAGCTTGAAAATAAATAATAAATAATAATATATATGTTTTACAGACAAGGAACCAATCACTTTTTTTTCATACGGTCAATGCATTTCTTACATGGTTTTTTCAGGAACCAATCTACAGTATAAAAACAGAATTAGGTGTACTCCTATACTCTTTGAGTATCGGGTATAAAAACCCTGCTGTAGGGTTCATATAAGGTTACAGTTTTGTAAATAAAATAAATAAATACATTGGTGATGTCCAAATAAAATATATTTTCGACATCAAATAAAAACGATTCCAAGAAAGCGAACTTTTAAATCTCAAAATAATATACACGTTACTCGTATATACAGTCTTAGACGAACGATCGAAAAATAAAGAACTACTAAAATACTAAATTTAGATACTGAAGTAATAGATAAAAAATAATTTCAAAATCTATTTTTTTATATGTTTAATTTTTACAGTTCTTTCAATTCGCAATACTCAGGAAGAAGAACCACCAGACCCGCAACTGATGCGACTAGATAATATGCTGATTGCCGAGGGCGTTGCTGGTCCCGAAAAAGGTGGTGGAGGCGCAGCAGCTGCATCCGCAGCAGCTGCTAGTCAGGGTGGCTCGCTATCGATTGATGGTGCTGACAATGCCATTGAACACTCAGACTATCGCGCAAAGTTGGCGCAGATTCGTCAGATCTATCACCAAGAGCTAGAGAAGTACGAGCAGGCTTGTAACGAGTTCACTACGCACGTTATGAATCTTCTGCGTGAGCAGAGTCGAACCAGGTAATACAATTTAGGATGAGTGACTTATTTAGTATATTTAAATTCAATTCATTCTTTTTCTTTGACCCAGACCCATTACGCCCAAAGAAATCGAGCGAATGGTACAGATCATTCACAAAAAGTTTAGCTCTATACAAATGCAGCTGAAGCAGTCGACATGCGAAGCTGTAATGATTCTTCGTTCGCGCTTTCTAGACGCACGTCGAAAGCGGCGTAATTTTAGCAAGCAAGCATCAGAAATCCTCAATGAATACTTTTATAGTCATTTAAGTAACCCATATCCATCCGAGGAGGCCAAGGAGGAGCTGGCGCGTAAGTGCGGAATAACGGTGAGTTTGGAAATCAATCATTCCTTACGGCTGTGGTATAATCGTATCTATCACCAGGTCTCACAAGTATCCAATTGGTTTGGCAATAAACGCATTCGTTATAAAAAGAACATTGGTAAGGCACAAGAAGAGGCCAATTTGTATGCAGCCAAAAAGGCAGCAGGTGCTTCCCCCTATTCGATGGCAGGTCCGCCCAGTGGCACAACAACACCCATGATGTCACCAGCTCCGCCACAGGATTCAATGGGTTATACCATGGGCTCCGGTGGCTACGATCAGCAGCAACCTTACGATAATAGCATGGGCGGTTACGATCCCAACCTCCACCAGGATCTTAGCCCTTGAAAATAAATTTTATCAAAATATCTATTAATCTATATTGATGGCATCTTTATATGGGCAAGTTATCGTAATCGAAACTAATGCACTTTATATATATACATATTACTACTGAGCTGCGCGTGTGTGTTAGTCTGGCCAGAATACCATACCAACAATACTGTATACGATTAAATCTTAATAATAGTACTCACCCAATGGCATACGGATATCTAACGCGTATTTTTAAATAAGTTTATATTCATTAATAGATAACATTATCTTTGAAGTACATTTTGCTTCCATTTTTTTCCAACAGTAAATTAAACAGAATTCTTTTCTTATACATTTTTTTCTAATACATATTTATTTTGCTGCTTTGAATATGACTACTCAATCCACCTAACGCAAAAGTGGTGAATTTTAAAACTGTACGTAAAAGCCACAAATAAACTTTAAAGAATACTAAACAACCGTTTCTTTTTTCTTTTAAGTGAAAAGCTATTGTTTGTAGTGAAAACTGAAGGTACGAAGTGGTAGAGATTGGTGCGCATGCAATTTGGTTAGCTTAGGGCAGAGCGCAACTTGGTGCTTGGGAATTATTTTCTTAAATTAAACTAGTTATATTTTTTATGCTAATTTAATAACCATATGCGATCGCGATTTTGTATTTTGCCTGGATGAGCAAGAATGCAAAAAAAACTACATTGCTTAGGCATGATACAGCACACAGCATACAGTCGATTGAGCCCTGTCTGTCTGTCCGTCCGTCCGTCTGTCCGTCCCCTTCAGCGCCTAGTGCTCAAAGACTATAAGAGCTAGAGCAACGATGTTTTGGATCCAGACTTCTGTGATATGTCACTGCTACAAAAATATTTCAAAACTTTGCCCCGCCCATTTCCGCCCCCACAAAGGGCGAAAATCTGTGCCATCCACAATTTTAAAGATACGAGAAAACTAAAAACGCAGAATCGTAGAGAATGACCATATCTTTTAGACTGCAGAATCTGAATTGGATCGTATTATTATTATAGCCAGCATCAAGAAAACAATTTCATTTTTTCTTGCCCTGTCTCTCTCTAACACACACGTAGCATAGGCGGCTTTGCTTAGAGTAAAACATTAGCGCCTAGATCTCAGAGACTATAAAAGCTAGAGCAACCAAATTTGGTATCCACACTCCTAATATATCAGAACGAGACGAGTTTGTTTCAAAATTTCGCCAAACCCCCTTCCGCCCCCGCAAAGGATGCAAATCTGGGGATATTCACAAATCTCAGAGAGTATTAAGGCTAGAGTAACCAAATTTAGTGTCCGTACTCCTGTTAGATCTCACTATAAAACGTATATCTCAAAATTTCGCCCCACCCCCTTCCGCCCACACAAAGGACGAAAATCTGTTGCATCAACAATATTGAACATTCGAGAAAACTAAAAACGCAGAATCATAAATAATGACCATATCTATCAGGTTGCTGAATCTGGATCAGATCAGATCATTTTTATAGCCAAAAGGAACAAATCAATTTGCAGTGGCTACGCAGCGCCCGACGTCACGCTCAGACTGATTTTCTGTCTCTCTCGCACGCACTCTTTGTCGTGTCGTTAAATATTAGCGGCGTCTGCCGGAGGAGAGCCATACTGACTTAGTATCGGGTATAACCGTAGAGTTGCGGTGTCCGCAGCAACTCACAACGTTCCCCCTCGTTTTAAACCAGATTTGTGTTGTATTCAATACCGTATGAGCTAGAGGGTTTCTTCTGCAATACTGGCCATTTCACCCACTGTGCAGTATTAAAAAATAATTAGAGGAAAGAAACAAATTGAAGCACAGTCTGGCCGGCAATTCCGTGTAGAACCTTCTGCAAAATGTTATGCGAAGATCACTTTTTTTTTATCGCCTATTTTATCTTGCCTAACTATGAAAAAAACACCACAATTTATGAAGCTGTGCCAATATTATTGCAGCCGTCAATTCTTCTCCGATTGGCGGCACCAATCTTTGATGAATGATGCATGAATGCTGTTACTCCCACCACAGAGGAGAAACATCAGCAAAACACTGCCGAGGCAAGTGCTGGCCACAACAGTCAGACGACCAGCAGATCGGACAGAAAACCCAAATGCACGTCGGCCGACAAGAGCACCAATGGGGACATTGATGACATCTGGAAAACCAACACCAGCGAACATCTTCAGCCAACTCGTGAAGAATGTGACCAAGGGTCACCGTCTGGGTGATCATGCCGATGACAAACACCAGACAACGGCCACTGGCACTCAAAAGATATCTCCGTCAAAAAAGTAACATATGCCATATCCCCGATCATGTTGCCCAAAAATAATATTGCTTGCCTGGAGATCGCCTTTGAGCGCAGTGTCCGACCCGTTTACCAGTGTTCAGAACTGAATGGCAATTTGGTTAGCGGTGTATATATATACTGCTGTAGGATACTTTTTATATCGTTCGACCGCGCTCCCGTGTGATAGGACATAAACGTCATCACAGTAGACGTTAAAATACTAAAATGAACATGATAAAATATAAAATCTGCTTATGTATTGCCTCTAAGGCAGAAAAAAGTTGACCGGGTCATTTAAAAATTGTTCGCTATAAATTAGCCACATTTAATTCAGAAAATTTTTTTGTTGTGTGGCAGATCAACTTCTTTCGGGTGGTTAGCTAGTACATAATAAAAACTTCATGGCATCATTAGAACAGCTTATAGGTATTGTGAATTAATCAAAAATTGAGAAATTCAATCACTAACTAACTGTTTAAATTAATAAATTGATCCAAGGTTTTAGATGTGCTTATATTTATGGTAACGATAACATCAAGTGTTGCGTGACCTTCCCTCTATGCGGCGATTATTGTTTATTTGCTCGTAATTATGAAGTCTAGTGTGAGTTAGGCTAGGGCAAAGCGGGAGCGCAAGAAAAGCTCGCTCTCTCGCTCTTGGTGAATTCGCCCCGCTTTGCCACCGTAGGTTAGCTAGAGTAAGAGATTTTGCATTGTGAAGAAAATATAGATGTTCGCTAACATTGAAGGAGATCGAGCGTATCCATTTTCGCCCCGCCGAATAAATAACTAAATTACACAAAGTTTTCGCTAATTTCAATTGGAAAAACTCTTATAATTTTTCAATTGTGACCAGCCAACAAAACTAATTCGCAGCAATTACGCAGTTTATTTGATAACAATTCTGCATTTTTTAGTTCTCAGAAGAACCAAAAAACTCGAAATAAAGGGTAGGAATTTCTCGACTACTCATCGTTGCTGTTCAGTTGCAGAAGTATGCTTAAGTAATTGGACGGTTTGCTAAGGGTTAAACTACAAAGAGAGTGAGAGCGCTCTAACTGCAATTGCCCACTCGGAGAACGGCGTCGTTTCATGCTAGGGCGGCGTAACCTCGTCTCCGATCACCAAGAAGAGTCTTTGTTTGCGTGTCGACGAAATTACAACGACAATTAGCAGTTGCAGCCGGCCGCGCTTAAACCCGTATTACCCATTACATTGTACTCTATACGCGATTACGATTAAAGTTTAAGTTGATTGAAGTATAAATTAATAAATCTCGAATTGTCTATATCGTGTAGTACATTATTAAACGCAAAGATTCCCCAGAGCATTTCTGCTCAACATTGAAAGCTCGTATCGAGGATTTCACAACATTTTTGGTGGCCCATGAGGGGAACCGCGTTTAATTCGTACTCTCCGCATATGATTCTACCTCGTTCCGCGTTCAGTTAAATGTACAAACAAAATCATATTTTACCGGCTGCAACGGTAAACGGCAAACACAACGCAAACCAACGGTTTATCCAACAGCCGCTATCTCTCGAACGAAGCAGGGACAAAGAAGACCAGACGATAGCTCTACGCCTGGACAGTGGCCTCACTGCAGCACACAAAAGGCAACTCAAGCCGACGGTTAGACAGCAGCCTCTCTCTCGTGCAAAGCAGAAACCAAGAGACCAACGAGCGTTCTGTTGCTGCACATCATCTCTAGACACAAGGCCTCAACTCAACGCTCACAGTAGCACAGTTTCTGCTCTCCGCTCGCACAACACCAACAAGAACGACTCGCAAGTTCTCTTAAGCTACGCTTTAAGCAAAGAGAAGCACTCCCGAGTACCAGAGTAAGTGTTTCGTTGTGGGTATTTTGTACAAGGCAAAGAGAGTGCAACTAAGGGTGAGAAAGGTACATACACATATAACAGCAACATGTCAACAGCCGAGTCCCACGATCTCGAAGCCGATCCTCAGGTGGAGATCGACAATCTCAGTAATATTCAGACAAATCTCATTGCGAGGGTTAATCAAACGGTTCGTAATTTCAGAAAGGATGGCGCAGATCGGAAAACAAAAGCTTATTTTCAAACGCGCTTACAAACTTTGCAACGGTTCTTAGGTGAATTTGAGCAAAATCATCAACGTTTACTAATACTTCGATGTCCAAGTACGCATAGTTATGTGTCCAGCGAAGTGGCCTTTCGCTTTGATGAAGACTATACAACGGCATTCAGCATCATATCAGAGGCCTACGAAAATGTATGTCCAAGAGCACCACCGGTACAGCAGAATCCAGAGCCAGCAAATCCATCGGTATCATCAGTACCGACATTTACAGGCAAGTTTGTGGATTGGCCGGCATTTCACGATGCATTTGTTCAACTCATCCATAAACTGTCCGACGTCCAAAGGTTTCATTTCCTGAAGCAAGCTCTTCCCTCGGATCGCGACGAGGATATTCAGCAGATGGCGCTTGCGGGAAATAACTATGCAACAGCTTGGAGTCTCGTCCTCAAGCGATACGACAACAAACGGCTGCAGTTTATGTACCATATGAACGGTTTGTATGACTTGCCACAGTTGACAAAGGAGCAGTCTGCTGATATAAAACATATGCTTAATGTTGCGACGGTTTGTCTCAATGCTTTCAAGAATCTAGATGTTCAGCATTGGATGGCTCATCATCTCACTTCCAGACTGCCAAGCCCGACCCTGCAAGCTTGGGAGCTCCATCTCGGGAGCTCTGCCGAACTTGCCACATTTTCTCAGCTACAATCATTTCTCAACGACCGTCTCGTCAGCATCGATGTATTCGAAAATCGAGGCCACTCCACGACGCGGACCCCTGTGCCGCAGCCTGTCAATCAAAGGCACCCGAAGAAGTCAGTTGGCAACGTAACATACAAGGGCAACAGTTTCCACGCCAAGACTGCGGTGGCCGAACACACTCGCTGCCCTCACTGTAGCGACAGTCACAATCTTCGGCATTGCCCGGACCTTTTGTCCAAGGACTGCTTTGCAAGGAAAGCCATCGTCGATCATGCAAAGGC